AAAGTTAGACGAAAATCATCAGTACATATATAAATGTCTAAATGTAACTTATCCATATATCACGTGATACTAAAGAAGTTAAAAACCGAATTTTATAATCGACTTGAGTCGACTTAGTCAAGTCGATTTTTTAAGGTCGACTTGGTTCACTAATTATACGTACGTATACAGTATTAAACCCTAATTTAGATTCAGATACGTACCATAAATTGTAGTTATCTGTTATGATTTGATTGGCCATCTAGGGTACGTAACTCATATGTGCAACATGTATGAAGATCAATTTAAAAAAAATTTTTTTGAGATCTCTTTTTTCAAAGGCTTTTTGAAACGATGAAGTTTTCTAAAGGTTGATCAGACTTTTTTTTTAATTTAATCTTTATATTCCTAAAATTGTTTGTATGGATGAATCTAATGATCAATAATTTTTGTAATATTATTTGGTATTACATTCTCAATCGTAGATGTTAGTTCTTCTCGGCGTAAAAGTAGAAAAGCGCATTTTTCCTCTGCATCCTCTGTTCGAAGAAAAGTTATGAGCGCCTCTCTGTCCAAGGAACTTAGAGAGAAGTATAATGTAAGGATTACCTTTTTTTAGAATAAATTTTAGTCCTTATTTATGATGATGTTTTAAAATGGTTCCAATGTAGACTAGATCGGTTCCAATTCGAAAAGATGATGAAGTTCGTATTGTGCGTGGTACTAATAAGGCTCCCGGAAAAGTGATTCAAGTTTATCGCAAAAAATGGATTATTCACGTTGAGCGTGTCACTAGGGAAAAAATAAATGGTACAACTGTACCTATTGGTATTCATCCATCAAATGTTGTTATTACCAAGTTAAAACTCGATAAGGATAGAAGAAAACTATTGAAACGAAAAGATAGATCTGCTTCTAATAAGGGTAAAGGTAAAGCAGCTGAAACAGACGAATAGTGGTCTTGGCCAATAACGAAAAAAATCGGATAAAACTAATTTTCGGCTTAGTTTTTTTTTTCAAAATTGGATTGAACGGTTTCTTATAACAATAATAATTTATAAGCTTTTTGATCATTACAAAAAAAAAAAAAAAAGTAGATATTTTATATATATTGCAAGTAGCAAGTAATAATTTGTTATAATAAATCGTCGATGAAACTTTAAAAAAAATTTGTCTCCTGGCGTTGTTTCTGGCAGATTGAATCAGATATTCGTTAAGGCATTATTTAACCACTTTTAATGAGCTTGTTTTTATGCCAATTTAGCTAAGTAGCTGAAAGTGCTGAATGATGACCATGTAATAGTGGAATTGAAAACTATCGTGATGCTGTGTTTGTAAGGTTTACAAATATTTATATTCATAGAATATATTAACACAAACAAAACTAAGTCTCAGCAAATTGGATTGTTGATTTAAATGGCACTTATCGTTATACTTAAAGAGTAACTTAAACATAGCCTTGCGAAAGTGAATTGCATAATTTAGGCCGCTAATTTTTATCAGCTTAGTCTAGCCGATAAATGTTAAAAGACCAGGATCATTACAGACGAGGTCATGGAAATATTACTATCAAAATTAAATACAATCGCCTTTATGTGGGTTTTAACCCATTTCTTTACCGATTGGCTGATCAACAATAATTCTGATTTGTTAAAATTACAATCACGTAACTTGAAAAAATATGTCCTTATTGTCCGGAGCGTAGCGGAGGTCTCAATTTCTATGCAAAGTGATACCAAAATTCCGTTTTTGATTCAGTATTGATCAGAATATCAAAAACGTAAATTTGCAATTTCCGTCTGTCGCCATTGCACGTCTAGAATGTGTGACAGGTTGATCAACAAAATTAAGAAAAATTTGTTTTTATTTCAAAATTTTGCCTATGA